TTGTAACTGAAGTAATGATTTGAAGAGATCTTGTGTAGATGGTAGGTGTATTTAGGTAATTCATGGGGCAATAATGGTTCTCGTGTATTCGAGAGTCTATATTTTTCACATACTGTGCATTTACGTATCATGTCATTTATTTGCTCGTACATCTGAGCCCAAAACATTACTTCTTTAGCTCTCAGCTTAATTTTAGTTACGCCAAAATGTCCTTCATGCAAAATATGTAACATCTCTGACCGTAACTTCTTTGGTACTATTACTCTGTGTTTATTAACGGCCATTGGCTTGCCGTTCTGCAATAATACACACCCAATACCATCTCGGGATGCATCATTTGAATTATTGGCGTAATCTTTTCATCAAAATTAGCTAATACCGTAACTTCACATAGAATTTGTTTTATTTTGTTAAAAACTTCATCATGGCAGCTTAACCATTGAAACATAATTTTGTCTTTTAATAATTGTCTTATCGATGCTGTCAACTCAGGCATGTTTGGTATAAATTAATACTCTGGGATAATTAATCATGCCTAGTACCCTTTGTAATTCTTTTCTATTACTTGGCGCCTTTAACTCTACTATAGTTTTAATTTTAGATGAGTCTGGCCTCATACCCTCCCTACTAAATATATGTCCCAAGTACTTTACCATGTTAACCTTGAACTGTATTTTATTCTTATTAAATTTAATATTTAAAGATTTTGCTCTGTTAATATCGTATTTCTTCTTATTTTCATCAGACAACGTGAAATTATTGTAAATGTCCACTCCAACCTCTCCAATAGCATTCAAAAGGATTACTACTTTTGTAGCATCACTTTTCTTATCTTTTTCTATTGCTGCCATGTATATTTCAATATTTTGTTTAAACTTTTTGAAATTCTCCACTACTTTTTCTTCGAACGACAATTGAGCGGAAACACGAGCACCCTCCATTTTTAGCAACTTTGAGGTTATGATCACTCCTTTTTGTTTTTACGTCTACTTTTTACTGCGTACTTGTATTAATATTGATTCAAGTTTATTGACTGCGCCATGTTGTGTTCTGTCAATAAAAGTCAGGATTTTCACTACTACTTTATTAAACAAAACTAGAATTATTTTATTTTACAGTGTTCGTTATCACTTGACTTAACTTGTCATTCTTCATCTTTATGTCCTACTTCACACTGGTTGGTATTGCCAACCTAATATGCAACATCTAGAAAATTTTTTAACCACACCTTAATATGAATCGACGGGAAAAGTTATGATTTATTTGAACGTATTCGAAAACAAGATTCCGTTTTCGTTTGTCACGATGATTCAAAAAATACACGATGATTTAGAACGTGAATAGGACGTAAAATATTTACGATGGCCATTATTAGAGAAAGATGAGGGTTTCGGAGGACAGAAATTCGGGTATCGGCATCAATCTCGGCTCGGAGGGGAGGCGAAAAGCGTATGTCGTAGGTTAGGGTGCTTTCGACGAGACGGAATGTAAATTGGTCTTCTTGGAAAACGGCCGTCGGACAGCGATCGCATCAATTTCGCGAATCGCCCCCCGCTAGACGGTGCTCGATAGAGAGAAATATCGTTCAGGGCATGCACCCGGTGTAAATTCCACTCTTAAATTGCACAACGAGGCCTCGAAGAAACCATACGGACCCCGCTTCGCCCTCGTTTTCCAAAAGGATTACCATTAAGTAAGGATTCTTTTAAAGTTTCAAAAAAAATAATGTTTTTAAATGTACATTTATTTTTGAACATCTTTTTGCGTCCAATTCCTTTTTTCTTAGACTGTTTTATTATCCCCGTTTGGGAGTTTGAGTCGAATGAAAAAAGTTTTTAATTGCACAGGGTGGAGAAAAATTCGGAATTCGTGGCTACAACGACAGCGCGTCTCGGGCGTCAATGAATATGCATCGGACGATTGTCGGGATCGGTTTGTCCGAACGTCGAGCCACCTCATGAAAATGAATGAAACAATTAGTATCTACATCGCGAAGCCATTACGCGTCTCTTGGCATTTTTCGAATGAGCCCCCCTGAACGGCACGACCACGACGACACAAGAAGAAGAAAAGAGCCGGTTGTGTGGAGTGCTCAAATCGTGAGAACGGATTATCTCAGCCGTAACATCTCTTCAAGTGGTTGTAGTCGCATTTTAAATGGAACAATGTCTTAGAATGAAAAATAATTTTTCTTAAAATTAAACACCATATGAGAAGATAGTTTTCAGGGCTGGGGCCCAGTTAGATAGAATTTTGATCATAACATGAGAAGCTTTTAATCTATTTTGATGAACTATATTTCATTCGAAAGCTTAATCCTTGGTCAATATAAAAGAGGAAATAAAAGCCCGATTCGATATTTAGAATTTCGCTAAAACTCCGAAATATTGTAAATAACACAAAAAACACTTCTTTTAAGTGGCCATAACTGGTAAACTATGTACTCGATTGTCAAGTTATATACGTCATTCGATACGCCACAGTTTCTTTTATCGAAATCACAAAATGCCCGATTTCAATTCTTTGCCGTTACCATTCCGCAGCCCTTAAAACGACACCACATGATGTAAAACTACGATTTCATTTAATTTTCACCTATTCGAGCTTTTCTCGATATTTATGCATCTGAGAGTAAAAGTGTAAAGGAGCAATATTGTTAAGAATAAAATTTACTACATCTTTTAAACTAAAACTTTTTTTCTAAAATGCTTCCAATCCCGTGCTCTACCAACAACAAAATGTAAAACTGCGATTTCATCCAATTCTTACTTTTTCGAACATTTCTCGGTATTTATACATCTGAGAGCAAAAGTGGAAAAGAGCAATATTGTTGACAATAAAATTTGCTATAACTTTTAAACTAAAACTGTCTCTCTAAAACGTTCCGAATCCTGTTCACTTTCAACAACAAGATGTAAAACCACGATTTCATTTAATTTTCACTTTTTTCGAGGTTTTCTCGCTATTTATACATCTGAGAGCAAAAGTGTAAAAGAGCAATATTGTTAAGAATAAAATTTGCCACAACTTTTATATTAAAACTTTTTTTCTAAAACGTTCCGAATTCCGAGGTCTTAGGTTCGATCATTTGTGTATAAACAACGAACACAGTGTTATTTTAAAGGCTGTACAAGGTTAATGGGAAAGAATTTAGATCGGGCATTTTATAATTACCATAGAAGAAGCTATGGCGAATCGAATGACGTATAGATCATGATAATCGAGTACATCGTTTACAAGTTATGACCACATAAAAATAGCCATTTTTGTGTTAATTTCGTGTACCTTCGTAATATTTGACGTTTTAGTGGAATTCGAAAGAGATGTTGAATAAGGCATTTCCACATTCATATTGAATAAGAATTAAGTTTTCGAATAAGATATTGTTCATCGAAATCGTTTCTGACATTCTCTTGTTGTTCACATAAATAAATTATATATATTATTGTTGTTTTTAATAAATTTTATTGATTAAAAACAAGAATAGAAGAATTTCCTACGTTATGTTGAAGGGCGATATCCGTGTATTGTGTATTGTCTATGTTCTTGATGAAGTATGACGAGCGAAGTAGCTTTGAGAGTGTGTATTGGATCTCTGGTGGAAGTAGACGGGGTAGTTCTAATTGATACGCGGCTTATTATAGTCGAAGGGGTTGACAGGTGCTCCCTTGAGGCATTTAACCCCTTCGTAACGAGCTCCGTAATGAGCGCGATATGAATTAGCGCCGAAAGGGGTTCTCCCTTTGAAGTTTGTACTCGCAACGCCCGCTCAGGTAATTTTAATTAGCCACTCGTCCGTCCAATTAACTATATGCACAATTTGGTTTATTGGCAGATTTTCAATGTAATAATAATAATTATAGTAATAAACATCGTTTGAACGAATTAGTAATGAATCGCATAAACCGAAACCATTAAAAATATATTGAGTCGCCTCTTTGTGTAAAACGATGATTATAACCGCTACTACATAAATGTTAAGTTTCAAAGGGTTATTCACCTGTATATATAACAGTAATAACTGTAACGATCCATAATAATCATGTATTACCGCGGTAATAATGTATATCTATTTCTGTATAAGTGTATTGATTTGTATTTGACGGAATTCCTTTCATGAACCTTTATAGTATGTATGTATAGGTATTTCGATGCGATGAATTCAGAGGGAAATAGATTTAGGAATAAACTCTGTATACTCCATTGAAAGCTAACGGTGATTCATCTTTTTCTGTAGTTCTTGAGAGTACCGGATATCTTTTCATCTGGGTTCGTTCTTAGCGCATTCTCGCGTTCCGTTTCGTTTTACGCCGAACCGCGATCTTCTAAAAAGGGTATCGTACGGCGCACCATGTGTGGAACCGTAGTTTGCGGTCACAACCCGGTGCTGGGACACGAAAAGTAGCCCTGCAATCACGAACTTGGAGCGCCGCAATAAAATGTCGAATCTCTGGGTCTCCGATTCTCTGTTGCATTATTTATCGAAACTCTTCCCTCTTGTATGTGTGTATACGAACCGATCTGATCCTATCCGTTCGAATAAATACAGGAAAGAGGCGTTTGAAAAGCACCACTTATAAAAATCCAATCGAACCTCAAAACCTTTTATATTGATTTTTATTAGCTCTTTAATAGCTTTTAAATTGCACTCTATTTAAAGTTTAAATCTATCATTTTGAACGTTTATAAGTTAAAAAGTGCGCAATGGTAATTGGATCCGGGGATATATAACTCGTCGGTTGTGGTGAGGGTGAGGAGAAACGGTGCAATTTAATAATTTCTATACTCGGGATGGGAGATAGCAAGAGGAAGCCATATATCAATTACGACTTGAACGTCGTGAACGCATGGGAACCGTGACGTGACCTGCACCGAGATGCGTTTTACTCTTAATAGCGATAAAGTCAGGTTAAGTGACTTTAAATTAGATATTGTGATAATATGTGTATTCGTCTTTCGAAAATGAATAAAAATACTTTACAAAAAAAAATAACGAAAGTAAACGATTTCAGGCTTTGTCTTCTAGGGCTCATGTAAACGAAACACAGTTGCTCATGTTTAAAAAAAAAAAACATTTAAGTTAATCTATAACTTTCAGCTCTAAAACTTCTTAAATAAATTGATTCTGATAATTGAAATAATCAAAGTGATCTGAAATAATTGATTTTGATTCGCTCTGGATTACACACGAGGTAAGTGAGTTATTTTTTTAGAAATGGTATATCGAAAATAAAAAAAAAATCTTAACTTCTTTGGTTTTATAGATGATGGTGGAATTGATTGAAATCTTGATTCCTCCCTGGTTTGAGCTGCTCCTTTTTCCCCCTTGGTGGAATGTGCTGGTACCCCCTTGGTGGCTTTCCGGAAAAACTATTCCGATGTCTTCTTTCCCAGGTTGGTTATCGTACTCTTCTTAATTAATTTTAGCTTCTTTTCTTCTCCCTCAATTGTGAATTTCTTTGGTTATGTTTTTTTTCAGAAATTTATCTTCGTAGGATTTCACGAGCGTTTCGAAATAGATGTTTACTCAATGATGATCAGGAAGCGAATTTTCGCGTCCTCGTTATTCATTTTTCACCCTTTTTTCGACAAAAATCGACAAAAACTTCTCTTTTTTGTCCATCACCCTCTTTGATACCACAAGAAAAAGTGTAAAAAATTTGTATTTCTGAGCGCCATCTCTTATTGACATTTGGTTTTTCTTCCAAATTTTCAAAAATTACTTTTTAAATAAACTATATTTATTGAAATCCTTCAATGTCTGAATACTCTGAATTATTTCATTCCCCTTAGACACAATTTTTCACATTAATTCTTCTTTAATTCCAAAATTTATATTCCGTTTCTTTCAAAATCTTCACATTTTTAATTTTAAACATTTCGGTTTTAAACTGATTAAAATCACTTGAATCTGATGTAATTCATTATAAGCTTTATGTTTTTAGGTATTTCAAGAAGTTTTTTGGCTGTAATCACCCATAAATTGAATACTTTGGATTTGGAGGTTATGTTTCGTTTTTTTTGTGGCCTCTTTTTTTTTAACTAAATACAAGAATATTTCTTAATCTACGACGGAAATACGAACGGATTTATCATTGATTAAAACATTTTTACAAATAATGACGAAATCAATGAGAACTATAACAAACTTTTATGAAATTTTTCAACGATCAGCTTTAACTATCCTCGGTATATCAACTTTGATATCAATACGTGAGTTGTTCTTTATATTTTAATTATAATATTAATTTGAACGGTAAGATCACTGATTTTATTGTTGTTTTTATCTGATTGAATTGTATTTATCTATTTTTTAGATTTGAAGAAGTACTAATAAACTCTCTAGGCTCTCGATTTACAAGGATTTTTCTACGGAATGTCATTATTTCCTCTTTATTGTAATTATTTCTTATAACAAAATTATTGTTTATTAATGAATTAATAAAATTATGAGTGGAACCCAATATTATTACAATATCTAGCAACAAAATAAAACGATATCAATCATTTAAACACCATCTACCGACTTTTAACAACTATTCAATTCGCAGAAATACAATTTAATGTGTTTAAGAAAAAATTAAATAAATAATCTTTCTGTTTCTTCAAAAATCGTCGGCGTGGTAAGTTGAAAGGCAATAACTCCGATTGGCACATGATTGAAGATCCTTTATAAAAGACTTCGGTGAAAGAAAAGGCCTTATTAGCTGACGTTGACTCGTGCACAATTGATATTGGTTAATGGACACCTATTTCGATGGGCTCAAGAAAGAACAATACATCTTTAGTATATCTTCAATTCTTTTATGTTCTTTTATAACCAGTTTTCTTTTTACGATCAATCATTATGTACTCAATATTTTTCTTCGGCATTTTTAATTTCATTTAAACCAGATTTTTTAATAACATCATCTTTTTTTTCTGTAAATGTTTCAAAACAATCGAAAAATCTTTGAAATCGAAAAAGTTTCCATTGAAAAATAAAACTAAACAGTATAACCAAGATTATTAGACCAAGATATTTTATGAAGAAAACGTCATAGTTGATAATATGGTATAATATAAACTCTAAAATTGAAGATGTTTAAAGATAGATCCTGTTTTTTCTAACAAATAAAATTTATATCATTTATTATGAGGGTGATCACAACAAGTCAAAGGGGGTCTCATGAAATTGCCCCGCCTACGATTCGGATAATTTTATTGTCCATTGGAACCATTAATTTTAGAAGGCCCCAGGCCGCGAGTCGTTCCGACAAATTAGAGGAGGCCGCAACCGACTCCTCTTCGGAGACGCCTCGAAGACTTCAAAAAGTGCTCGTATTTCACGCGTTTCGCGTCGCGACAAGCGACCGTTCTGGCGTCGTTTCAGGGGTGGTCCTCTTGAATGATTTAGGGCAAAGCTTCTATGTTTGGATGTAGAGGATTCTCCGGATGTGTGCGCCGCAATTTATCTAGCGTGAATTTCCGCTTGTAACACTAAAGAATGCTTAACCAACAAAAAAAAAGAATTAAAATAAAAAAAAAAAGAATTTATCATCGTAACGAAATTTGTCACGGAAAATATTTTTCGTCGCTTGTTGGTGACTTGAAAACGGGCGCTTCCCGGCGGGAAATACGGGAGGGCAAATCTCGTTAAAAGAAACCGCCGACGACGAGGTCCCTCGGGTATTTATAGTGGCGAAGAGAAGAGGTAGACGCGCGACAACTCTAACCAGCAGACTCTCGGCCAAATCGGGCATTCGTACGAACCGAAATTTGCATACAGACGGCAAACCCCGAGCGCGATTCATCCGCCATTCGTTCCTTCACAACCCACCCCGCGACGTCCTCGTCGTTGAGATTAATTGAATATTAAAGTCCGTGGCGTCGAAACGTGTATGGGAACTGGTCGAAATTACACCTTTGGAGGCCGAATAATGAGCCCCTCCGGACGGACAGTAACGCGTCGCTGAACCGCAATTTCGACTTATTACTACTAGTCGAGGCGAAGTTGGCGAAGGGCGACCTACACTAGATAAGACGGTAATTGCTACGAAGACGTTAGGGGCTCTTTCTTCGCACCAAGATGGTTATTATGTGATAAAATCCGCTTGAATATAGTTAGGAAAAATATAAGGACAGGTGAAGAGAATTAATGCGAGCAAATTATTTTACGTCTTAAAAACAAAAATAAATTGATATTTAATCTCTCGTTTTTATTTCCACATCATAATTGTAACATTTTTGAATATGATCTGTGTTCAACATCATATATCAAAAATAAATAGCATAGAAATTCAATTACATAAAAATTACAGAATTAATTGGAGTTCTGCCTTTTACATTCGAAGGTGTTTGCGGTTGTTGTTCAGTTCTTATATAAAACTTTAGATAATCCAATAAAAAATTGGTCTAAATAAATGGTTTTTATAACAATTATAAGTAGGTTTTCAATAAAAACCAGGAAAAGCCGAAATCACATCCATTTTTCCAGCAAGGTTCCGAACTTTGCTATCTAAGTAGTTCCACAAATAGTTCTGGAATATAGAGTCCATCGACAAGACCAAGAAATCTGCTTTGTAAGTCTTAAGATATACATTTGTTGCGTATCAGTGCGTGAGAGGAAATTGTAACACAAATGGGTAAGACCATTAATGAATACAAAAAGAAAATGGACTACTGTTTAGCAGCCCTCAGGAGGGAAAAAATGACAATCTTATTGCTTCCTTTGATATTTTATATAAGTATTGAAGACTAGAATAAGAATCGCCAGTAGCCAGATACCGTAGAGCCAGCCTTTCTTAAGAATTGCCTTCCGAAATGTGGTATCTCGTTTCGCAATTTTCTGCTCAATGTCAATGGATGACAATAAAAACACAAAATCAGTGAAGTGCATCCTAGTAAAATTTTTGTACAATCCACTTACAGATTGAAAATTCCAGTCAACTAGTAAATTTGATGCTCTATACTGTTCCCTGCTTGCGTATAACTTACGATTAGTCAGCAACCAACGTCCTGCTTTTTGTGCAACGTACAACGATTCCAGTTTAGTAGCTGACACCGTCCACCACATCATCACAGATCTACCACCAATCACAATGCTTTGCAATTGGTCACAGCTTGTGTCAATGCAGCTCCGCATTTGTCTTTCCTCATACATATAGTTTCTGTGAATAGAACAATTTTTCCAAAAAATCTGAATTTTCGGATTCCTTTGCAAATTTTAATAAGATATTCTAGTTCTAGTTCATGTTGTTCTTTGACATTGTTTTTCTTTGTAACCGTTGTCGCATTTCTTTCTGATAGCTATATTTGATGATGGAGCCATTGAGCTTTTCTGTGTTCGATTGTCAAAAATGGTCAGAATTTGTGTTAGCTCCCCATAGCGTTCTTACATATTCTGCGTCTGTTGGCCATCTCTGTATGTGGTCTATTTGGTTAATGTCTTTGCTTCCTGGTATTCTCCAAATTCGTTTTAGAATATTTTTCTGTCAAACCCAGTACTGACAACAACAAATTTGTTTATAGCAGCATGTTGTATTAGTCGATGCGCGTTGTTGTTTGTGATTTCATGTAATCTGTGTTTCCCAATGTTATCTCTGAATATTGGCTCTTTTCCAAGTTTCGTACTACAGTCTCCTAGTGTGATTATGGCATCTTCTTTTGGTAAATTTTTAGCTTTATTTAGACTTTTTAAATAGCTAATAAGATTTCTGCAAGAATAATAAATGAAAGACATATAGGAAATACTCTTTATGAGTTGTTAAGCTCTCCATGAATACTTTTTAGGACACAAGATGCCCAAATCTTTACCTCTTATTTTCTTAATTTACAAGGAATACCCACGGACTATGAAAAACTGTTGGTATATTTTCATGAAGAAATGCAAATAGAACGAAAAAGGCTTAAATATAGTTTGAACATTGGAAATAGTATTTAAACCATGTATATAGAGCCATAAACGTTTTCCTCGAAGGCTTCCATTGTCGTGCAATAAAATATTTTGGTGCGGACTGAAATATGTGGAGATTAAATATTTTTTAAATATTCTAATAACTTTTAAGTAATATTAAGTAAATTTCATATTTATTTATACAAAAAAAAGTAATTATAGTCTTAAATCAAATATGTTATCAGTAACTCAAGTAACATTAAGGAATAAGTAATTACGATTACATAATCGTAAATTTAAACAGTATATCATTAAATGTTCCTATATTAAATATGCACGTACGTAGATTTCTTGTCCTAAGGCACGTTAACAGTTAAATTACACATACCCAGATCCGTACCGAGCGCGTTGGCCCGTCACTAATATTTCATTACAAGTTACTACATCTCGACAAGATGTTAATATTTCACGAGCTTTGCATGCGATCGGTACATGGGTCGGCGCCTTTGATTTATGAATTTTAATAACGCTCGAGTCGTGACAGACCTACCGGCTTCGTTGGTAATACAAGAGAATGCCTCAGGGGGGTTAAAGCTCCCGTTTCCGGTTGGGGCTTAATTTACAACGAGTGCTTATGTGACAAAAGTTCGTCTCACCCCCTTGCCACGCGCTCGTCTAATATATCACTCAGGAAGGCGCAAGTTTCTAATGAAATCCTTTACGCCTCACTCCGGCCCTGTACTTTCTTAGTTCGCATAAAAAATGATGCAACCTTTAGGTTCTGATTCTGTATCTTAAAATAAGTTCTCATGTCGAATTTTTCGAGAAAAAGTAAACACCGTTTTCGCACACCTGATGTTTGGTGTGTGCGATAACAATTCCACAAAACCAACAAGGTCCGTATTGACAGTCGATATATTGCGCAAACTTATTTTGTCGTGGCCACGTTAAAGTTGTCCGTTCAAACATCGGGGACGATATTAAAAAGTTTTAGAAAGCTGACGTTGCTGGCGGGCGCGTTTTAAACGCTTTATCGAGGCGGAACTTGTCCCGTTTTAGCTTGTTTCGGGACAGTACAAGCTATAAACGGCGATTTTTTTCTCGTAACGTGAATTTTGCTCTGTCATTCGGACAAATTGTACTCAATTCGGAACTCATTCCTCGAATTTGTTTTTGTACCGGGACACAGTGCCCGTGTTCGCGTTTTGAAATATTGCCCCGCTTCGTTGTTCCTCGATCGTTTGCTCCAATTTGTTTACTATACAAAAAATGACTGAATAAATTTCTGCTTGATTCCAATTTAAGTTGAATTTTAATCCGTTGATGTACAGTAACATATAAAATGCTATTTTTAATCATTAAAAAAAGAAGGAATGCCGAGCTGGTTTCTTAGCAATCACAACATTCATACTCGGTATAAATGTTGTTTATCATGTCAGAAGGTGCCATAGATCTTTACGTACGTTCAGCTACGAGGCCAAAGTAACTATTAAAAAAACCTGGGATAGGTGTACAGAAAAGGAAGGAACGAAAAGTTGACGTGCGTTCGATAAAGAACGTATGTTCGATCTATCGGAGCGCACCATTACAAAAATTGATTCGTGATTCACGCTTGTTAATTTCGTTATCGATCTAAGGCCGTCGCCCCTTTTTTATTTTCAATTTTACCTTTGAGCGCCGCCGGTTACGCGTAGACCAGATGGGGCCATTAGTAGAGGCTTCCACTGGTTGGATTGACGGTTGGTTTCTTCTATTCAGGATTAAAAAAACAAATTAATGAGGGCGCAATAAATCGCGTCGCGAACGGGTAATAGCGTATTTATCGCGCTGGAACTATTTCTATGATAATGCAGCCGTTTCAACGCGTTTTTCAGGCGTCGAATTGACTATGATTTTGTCTGTGAACGCTAATGGGGGACCATTTGAAGTCGCGCAGACGGGCCAGATAGCGATCTCAAGCTTGTTACGTCGAGCGCGTCCTGTTTCTGGTTAATGACGGCGATTTATAACGAGAAAATACAAATTAAATATAGATAATTATTTAAGTGGACTCGAAGAGGAACTGGTTGGCCACCCGTTGTGTGCTCGACACTGTTTTGAATTTTAATACCAACTCGTAGCTTCTCTACATTAAGTAACAACCACTTTATAACATTTTTTATAACTCCTTTAATCGCTTTTATATCTCTCTTTTTATAAAAAAAGAATTTATCGACAAATGAAAAACTGTATCACCTTCTTCACAACCAATTTCCCGTTAGCTTCTTAAATTGTTTGATCTTTAATATTAGCTTCCACTGAAATTGAACGTTTCACACTACGGCTTTAAAGAAAGGTCGCAATTTCACTTCAAGATGCGAATCAGCTTCAAGCTACGACCGGTTGGAGATAGTGATCGCGCGTCGCTTTCTGTTTCTTCAGAAAGGTCTCGCTTCCTGGGTTTCTGCATTAGATAAAACTCTTTTAAAGTAGGGAATGTTTGTAAAATCTTTGTATATGTTATCTTTGTATCATTTTTAAAGACTAATTTTGATTGAATTTGCGTTTGCTTTAATAACCAACCATTTTTAAGAAAGATTGTGGGAAAAACAAGGATGGATCGAATTAGAAACAAAACTACAAGAGACGATTTAGAACAAATACACTTGATAACTGAAATAAAAAACAAAGAGCTCAGCTAGTATGGACGCCTATTCAAAATGCCTGAAGAGAGAATTCCCAGAAGAGTAATGGGGATGGCAATAGTTAGACAACGAAGGAGAGGCAGGCTAATGATAAAATGGGAGGATGGAGTGCAAGAGATAGTGCGCAAGAGAGGAGGAAGTGTGTAGGAAGTGAAGAATATGGCAAGGAACAGACGTAGTTTTAGAAGATGGATAGAGGATCCCAATAACACCCCAACGCTGTGATGGCATCTAGGGGAAATGATAAAAAAGAACAATTTGCGTTTGAATTTTAACTGAAATAAGACATAACTTAAGATAAAAAAGTGTTACAAAAAAGTTACAAAAGAAGAGTGATGATAAAGGTGAAGATAATCACGATAATAATGTCAAAATTTTGACCTCAACATAATAATCTCATAGTTACATCTCATCTAATCCGTTAGAGTTCAAGATTTTCTACTATAATAAAGAGAAAATGGATAAAGTTATCCATATTATTACAACTAACAAGATAATTATTTTTTATAATAATTTTATAGGCAACCAATTTTACGTATCAATTTAATAATAATGTTATTCTTTCTAAAAAATTAATATATAAGAAAATATATATTTCTTAACTTATTTTTAGTTTTTTAATACCAAATTGAACAAAATAAAAACTTTAATTAATTAATTTATTATTTTAATTTTAATAAAAAAGAAATGTCGATAAAGTAGATTGCTATTTGTAAAAACTGACAGTTGTTAAGTGTCAACAAATTTAAACATTTGTGTTTAGGGCAAGTTAATTTGAAATAAATAAAATTCATATTTTAATCATCAGTACGTATGCTAAGTGCAAAGAATATTTATAGTCCCTTAACTATGATTTGATAATGACGCTTTAGTAATGAAGGAATACTCAAATTGTTCCGTTTTCAGGTCAAATCCCACTATGTATTTACATGACGAGCAAACAAGACAAGTACGAATTAAAATATGGGCTTTATACGATTATGCTTCAACACACATTCTTAACATGCAAGAATTACATTCATTTTCTATGAAAGCAAAATAATAAATCAAAAGAAAATGTATCTACATCATTTGATATCGTTATGCATTATAGCGACACCAGGGCGTTGTTGATGTAGGAGACATTGCGGCTATAAATGCATACAAGTTGTGGCAGTATGCTAATCCTAACTGGGAAAGGAATTCAAGACGGAAATTTCTATTTCAGTTAGACAGAAAATTGATAAAACCTTACATAAATATTTATACAAACAACAAAAATGTATCAAAAAATAAATAAAAGAAGAAAATACAAGATAGATGTTACCTGTAAAACGAGAAAAAGTAACACCAGAAAAACACTATTTACAATTATAATTAAATTGAAAAACTGTTTATTTTTCTACAGATACGTTGTACTCTTTCTCCCCATTTGGTACTTACGGTAATAAAGCAAATCGGATAGAATGAGGGTTAATAAACAGGAGATTAAATTTCAATATGGTTTTGATACTGATGGATAGGATTGGTGTCAAAATCAGCCCGGAAGCAGCTAATATAGGACAGTATGGCGCAAAAGAATATCAGAACAGGTAATTAATAATGATGTCCGTTTAGAACACGTTTAGAAAATTTGCTAAAATTTATTGAAATATACTATTTAAAATTTCAAAAATTAAACCAGTGGAGTTAATATAGATTTTGCCCAAAGTTTACTAATGAATACAAACATTACAAAACAGAATTAAATCCACTCCATTTTATATAGAGATTTAACGAAAATTTAAACCTTTCAGTATTATTTGTTTTTCAATAATGGCGTATGTACTTAATAATCCTTTTTGTTATACGACTTTATTTCATTATTGTAATGTTATGTACTAATTTATCGACCATTTATAACGAATCGTTTTATAAAATAAACTTTGTTATTCTTGATTTAAAGTAGATTAAAATATTGTCGTAACATTTTTATTAAACATTAGATTATTACGAATTATTTTTGGCGTTGAATTAATTTGATATATTGAACAAACAAAGATAAGATTGATTTCTTAGAGCAACCATTGAATGTATAACGATATCCGCTTTATAAAAAACACATTACATTTTCAGTAGACGTTTCCTTTTTGAAGACATCAAAGGAAAGATCCAGGCAAAAATCCGATTACCTAACCAACCTACATTCAGCATTGAATTTATTTATTACGTTTAATTTATTGGTATAAATTGCTTTGGAATGTCAAAGTTAACGGAAATATTAGATTAACGGATTTATTACGACATTGAATAGGATCGATTATTTTATGTTCAAAGTGATTTATGAATTTAGATTGCATTCTTTATGAGGAAATTTGAAATTTTAACTTTAACATAATGAAGAAAGTTTTATGATTATTAAGATTTTGTCGAAAGTCCCATAACGGCGAAATTCCCATTTTTGATGGTTGTAGTATCTCGGTTTCGTCGTGCGCGTAAAGTAATCAACGGTAAATGAGGCTTGGCGGTTTAATATTAGAAAAGAGCCGACCTCCCGTTTGCCAGGAAGTGTCGAGAGACGCCATCACGGACTGTCAACTGGATTTATTGCGTACGAGCGCGTATTTCGACTTTCAGCGCATTTCCCACAGAGCACCGACCCGTGCACCTTTACCGCGATGCTTTCCTGCTGCGTCGGATTACGTTGAGATTTTTTATTTTTAATACTAGCAATATCCCCTAACTCAGTGTTTGCTTTAATCACAAAATATTTATTGGATAAAGTTGTAGTGCAATAACTAACGCTTTCGTAGAGAGCAACATGGAATATTGAAGGACCCCTTTTATTTTTTCTCTTTGCTATGTTCGAACTAATATTAAAACTCACAAAATCATTGATTTTTACGCCCCAACCCTCTACCTGTGCGGGCTTTTATTAAAATTAAAAACTGTTGTCAGCGCAAACGTGCACTTTAATATTCACGAGATCGTAAAGCACCATCTGTCGGCCGTATTTCTCGTGCAAGTCCTCAAACGGGGAACGTTTAGTTTCACGTGAACGTAAAATATATTTTATTGCTCCGCGAGGATATAGAGGAAATTGATGGTTTTAAGAAACATCCCTCCCGCTCAAGATATAAATGATTCAAATAAAAAATTCGTCTATATCAATTCTTATTCAATTTCAATTTAAAAAAATTTGAAACTTACCTTTATTGCTCTTATTCAAACTAATATTGCTTAGCCCTAGTTTCTTCCATGCCTTTTTGCTCCAAAAGCTTTTAGTTGGGCTCGGTTCGTTACTCGATGGAGAAGACGTTTTCGCAGCGTTACTAGTAGTTGCGGTGTGGATAGATTTCTTTTCAGGACCTCTCCTCAGACTTCCGGCTGCACTCCTGTAACTAGCACCACTCGAACTACCACTGAAACCACTATCCAAGTCAACCATGGGCACTGGGGATAAAAGGTCATCTGTTGGACCGACAGTCAATAAATCCGCCAATTGATCATGGACCTCATCGTCCCTATCATTGTCCTCACTACCTTCTCTAGAATTATTAGTCGGCATTAACATAGCTTCCACAGAAAGATTCAATTCTCCAAGAACCCTTCTGTGTCCACTTTGCACTCGCCGAACTTCCTCCTCCACATATCTTTGGTTTAGGGAGAAAATACTTTGCTGGGACGACCTCATTCTCGCTCTAGTCCCGTCAGTTATCTCCTCGTAGATATTCTCTTCGGTTCCATACCTCGTTAAGTAAGTATGTTTACTTCTATAAGAGCCTTCCCGGAAACCACCTCTTCTGATACTTCCTGTGCCACCGCCCGGATATCTACAGGGCGGAATGTTAGTGTGTCTCGTTGGAGGACCTGGTTCGTAATAAGCATAGGAATAATCGTTTGGGCCGGGACCAACCCAGGCCGGGTCGGGTTGACTAGACGGTCCTGGGAGGTTTAAAAAATCCTCTGACATTCTATCTACAGGATGAGGAGGCGGATAATTGGGCGGAGGCGGAAAGTGCAAAAGCGGCTGATGATGGCCGTGCAACGAAGAAGATGATGATGATGATGCTTCTGATGAACCATTCGAAAACTGACGATGACAGGCCAAAGTGTGCGGCAGTGATATTTGCTGGTGATCGAGACATTTTTGCTGCGATTGATGATGACGTGGTCCTTGCCACATTTACCTAAAATGAAATAAATTATAAACACTAAAAAATGATTAAACACTAAATAAAAAATAAGGTTTTTGATTATGAAATATTAAGAAAAAAAGGTTGGGTGAGTGATGAGGTAAATTTAATTACCTCCACTCAGCCCGTCTTAATTAAAAGTGTTGAAATACAAGCCTCTTTCCACTTAGAGATATTTTTAAAAGTAACTTTCGTCTAGAAAAAAAAGGATGTTCGCCACTATTTTTAGTTGCGGTATTTCGTATATCCAAAAATGTTTCTTTATAATAGAAAAAAATTTGCTTAAGAAAACATTTTTTCTCGGTTTAAACTCTTCAAGTCCTTCTCGGAATTTAACGGTATTAAAAAAATAAAAAGAACTTTCTCTCGATGTAACAGTATGTATATACAAGTCAGAGTGGTGTAAAATGGTTGGAACAGATTTTTTTTTTCGTGTGGAAAATAAAATAAGAAGAAGATAAATGAACGTAAAGCACAATCGAATCAACCCCCCACAGACAGACAAAACGAGGGAGAGGGAAACGTTCACAATAGAGTGGGCGCCCATTTCTTGCAAACCTGAAATATTAATAAAAGCAAGTTCCCTATTCCGGAACACGTGATGGCACCAACAATGGGGTTTTTTAATGCATCGCCGGCCTAAGTGCCCCTGATTCTTGAAATGGAAATTTGACCCTTTAAAAAGGTCAGTTGCATCGCAGTCTTTGTTCGGTTTTTAAAGCAGAACTTCTCGGAAATGACAAAAGCAAAATAATACCTCACCAACCTTTCGCGTTTCTTGCTATTTCGAGTAGTAATTTAATAATTTTCTCTTCTCTTCGATGTAGACATACATATAAAAGCAATTACCTAGAAATGAACGACAACGACGACGGCACAAGGTATTGTAGGAATGACTCGTTATGGCATGAATGACAGAACAGGTGGTTACACTCCACTGTGTACGTTGCGTGCAATTAGCAGTAAAATGCAATTTTAGGATTCTTGGAAAGCTCACGTTGCTTCTCAATTACTATGACGTAGATTCAATTAGTAACAAATGCGTTCAAAAATGGTTGATGCAACAATTGAGTCCGTTGCAAATATTAATAACGGAAATTACAAAGCTATTTTATTGATTAATTAATTAAATTAATAAGATTATCATAATTATTATCATAATTCCTTTTTAGTGGGTTAAAAAAAGTACCACAACACGATCCCATTCTTTCACATTCCTAACAGTTTTATATCTATATAACAACGTCGAGGCCGTATCTTGCATAACATCGTGGTGAGCAAAGCAGGCTCAGGCCAACTAATGTCAATTGTTTCCGACCTAGTTTCAAATATGTGAAGAGAATCGACATATGACAGACGACGTTTTGTTACGAAACTGTTGATGTACTGTCCGGATGGAGTATAAACTGTTTACTTGACGGTAAATTCTCAAGAGGTCGTCTTGTCGCTAATGGCTTCAACAAACTTATTAACAAAACAAAAACTAACATAGGTATATAAGTTGTTATGCTTTCCGGTTAGTTAAGGTTTTTAAGGAAAATTGTTGTTTGTTGTTATGCGAAAGATATAAACCATAATTAAAATAGCTTAACGAATCTTCTTTGTATATTTTCAATCTAAGTGGTGTAATAAAGTGAAGTAACACGCCAGATTGGTTCTAACAAAAGTTTGAAAAGTTATTGCGAATAGCGAAGAATGTATGGAATTTTATCGTAGTCTAAAGAATAAATTTTATGCAAAATGGTGTGATTCACAACATCTTGTAATAATGATGTTGCATCTAGATCAACAACTTCACATTTTCACAACACCAACCTTCCATGATAACTCATATGAAGACTCGGGCACACATTAAGCGCGGTATCCAAGAAGATTCCGAAGATATTAAGTAACCTACTGATACTATTAGCTACGCAGGGGCATATTACACTTGTTTTCCATTCCTCTGTGTATAGCCTTTGTAATTAAGTCTTTCCCATACTTGAAGAGTTCTACTGGGATGTTGTGTATTCCTGATGCTCCTCCATTATTTAGCGATCTCGGTATTTTCGGTTGCGTGAAGGAGCTTCCTGTAGTTGTAGTAACCATGAGTAAGTAACTTCTAATACTAATACATCCTGAATCGCACAATGAGGATGCAGTAAATAAAGATGAAAGACATTTTTCATTATTGGAACCTAGTAGATAAGATTGCATAAAGCGCACATATTAACATGGCTTGTTGAATCTGAAGACCTAATCATAGACTAGAGTAATTTTGCTATCATTCTTCCATCATTCATCTGTGAGGTCTGTGTTCATATGTAATAACAATAAAAAACGCCCGTTGTTTCTGCCTGTTTATATAGAATTAGACCGATGGGATTTTGTTTTTTTAGGACTTAATTTTCGTCATTGATAATTCCTCCCTAATGCAATTACAGCTATAACATAAGGTTGTATTTATACAGATTTTCTTAAATACTTTTGTTGAGAGTTAAACCGAAATGTATATAGTAACATGGTTCTTAGACCCTCGGGATTCTAAGTTTCTCTTGGAGATGCAACAAAAATATGGGAGGAAAACGGGGCGTATAGGGTCCCTTAGGGGCACAAACGATGTTCCTACTTCTACAACGGTCCAAAGCAAACATCTCCATTGTTTTAGTTACATTAGCATCCATACTCAAGAGTAACTCGGCGAGGTGATGGTGCCTGTTTCAGCTTGTTCCTGCGGGTGTGTTTGCTCTTATTCGTTTCAAAATTTTAGTCCGCTAATCACTCTCCTGGGTCGACCCATACACTAGTTTTGTTTAGTCGTAATCGTCCACTTCCCGTTTATTAATTGCCCAAAAAATTTTACAAAAAAACCTCAAAGCGTTCGGATCTAAGAAAGCGTGGCAAGAGCTATTCAAGGAGCCTATTTTTCTCAAAGGAGGCTAATTCCAGTCTCTTGTCGTCCGGTGTTCATTAACCGAAAGAAAGGAGGGGTCCCGCGAGTGAATACCTCTGAAGAACTACAAAAAAACGCGGTTTCCGGACGTCGCCTTCACCCCTCCAGCACTATGTATAAAGCAGTCCTCGGGCATTGTTTATCGAATCTTTTTGTTTCGCGCGATCGCAATGGCTGAAACCCCCGCGGTGAAAAGTGGAGATTAGGGCGGTATGAATTATTTGGGGGGCGAAAGACCAAAGGAAAGTAGCCTGGTTAAAACGAGGAACGACTGTTAATGGTAGATATTTGTTTGGGAAATTGCCTCCCGTTTTTTTTTTGCATCACAGATTCATATCATTCTTTCTACAAAAAAGGTTTATTCACGATAAATTAAATTGCATCGTTTGATATCCTAAATAACGGGACAGTTTTAATGAAAACTCCTTTTTTTCCTGTTGTCCATTTAACTAATTAACTTATCTCCAATTTAATAGGATTATACAGATTCCCATTTTGGCTATCGCAAATTGCTATTACCAGTGGTAGTTAATAACTCATTTGGTGAAATTACATTGGGATTATAGGATATACGAATAACTCAAACTATAATGATAATGTTTCCTAACGTAATTATCATCTTTATGTAACAAATAACAAAATAAATTGGATGGAAATACATCAATGCGAAAATAATTAGTGATTATAACAAATGGATTACAACTTAAAATTTGGAAAACTCCGTTTTATTATAACACATTAGTCATTGTTACCGTTGACAAATTTTATAGCGAAAGCTATGACACAGTTGGGCTCAATTGTATACTGTGCGTGAATACGAAGTGGGGTTTTGAGTAATACATACGTCGCGGTCGTGTCTTTGTCATGTACCGATAACATTGACCATTTTCGGTTGGTAGGTAAATGTTTGCACGTTTTCTCTTTATTATCACGACAACAATCTGGATCTCTCTCTTTCTCACGTAACTGACTCATTTAATTTAGAAATACCTGACGCTACTGCAAACGGTTGTCACAAACTAAAAAGTGCACGTGCTAAAACTAAAACCGAGTCGTGAAACACCGCGTTAAAAGTTTGTCATTCATAAAACTCGTTGAAACTTGCCGGGGCAAAAGTTGAAACTTTACCCTATCAACAATAGCAGTTTACAACCTAGCGGAGAGAAACATTCGAACGCCGTAGATCTGTACTAAAACAAATTTAATTAGAGAGCGAAACTTTTTTTCGGTAACGGTAAAGTTGCGACTGCCTTGAATTTCGACGCAGTGACGGGTTGGATTTCGTTTCCGTTTTAAATTTCGTTAAAAAAATTACCGCTAATCCGGTTCTCGGATGAAAAACGAACCCCGAGCCGCTAATTGACCCAGTTGCCGGCGTATTATCTGGCTTTTACACTCTGAGCCCCGAGTACCGAAGTTACGCCGGGTTAATGGCGCGCGCGCTCCAAGATACTTCCTTAACTTAAATAATTCAAGGAAACACTGGAGGGTAATTTTGTGGTGGAACAAGAGGCCGGTTTGTCATTTTTCCCGGATGTAACGGCTTATCTCTAGGCGGTGCACCAAACCAACTTCCGGTAATGAGGGTTATCGTAAACTTTACCAAGCTTACACCAAAACTCGTAGGGATGCTTTGTTATTGAGAAGCTTTTTACTCGATCATATGCCAACATTATAATATAAACATCAAAAGCAAATTTATTCCTTCAAAAACTATTTTCAATCCAATTTTGAAATTAATACTTATGTTTTCTCAATTTTAAAAACATCTCATTACTTAATACTGACTTATGAACTAAATTATACATAAAATTAAAGCTTAATGTGTTTTTTTTAATATACATATAATGGTTAGTATGACAGTAAGTGCTTCAGTATGACAGAAAGAATCATCTTTTTGAGATGCCTATCCGATTCGAATGTTGGCAATTATAATTTTGTTGACACCAGCTCGAAACAATTCTGCTCGATTTTTTCCAAACCAAGTTCTAAGATTCCGCTGCCATGAGATTCTTTTTCTGTAGTGTCCTCTTTTTCCTTTGACTTTCCCTTGCATTACGGATTAGAGCAGGGAATGTTGGTGTTGATTTCTCATGACATGTCGCAGGTACTAGCGTTTTTTGCGTTTGATGATATATACATGATTTCCAATTTCTCATCATTCTTTGTAGCACTTCCCTGTTCGTCCTGTGCGCTGTCCATGATAATTTGAGCCACATCTCAAGGACTTCCAGCTTTTTAGTTGTGGTTTCTGTCAAGAACCATGTTTCCATGCCGCATAATAGTGTGGACAAGACATAGCATCTTAGATGTCTTATTTTTGTTTCGATGGATACTTGTGATTCTTGAAAAATTTTTTGTTGTTAAATCTTCCCTCTTCTTTTCTATACGGCATGGTTTTATTGCTCACTTATTACAGTTCCCAGGTAACAGTACTGTGCACATCACGCATAAATAATGTATAGAAAATAATATAGAAGACACCGTCTTGAAAGATGCATTTCTCGAAAAGACGATCGAAGCCAACCTGGAGGGATAATTTGATATGAATTACAGGTTCCTGCCTAAAATCCAGGGACTGGTACATAAAGATGCGAGATAAAGGTAAACCCAAGTTACGTTCTCAACTATCTCTTCTGCTAATAATATATTTTTAGGTACTTGCTCAAATAACAAATGATACAGGAATAGTGGCCCAAACTGATGAGAAGTTTCGTGGCTGAATATGCCAAAACTAAAGCGACACTTAATACATTGAATGGCTAACAAAAACGATGAGAAATTGAAGAAAACCTCGCTGAATATCTCAAAGTGGTTCAGCGATTCAAATAGTTCAAAAACAGAATTCTGACTTCAGCAACGGATATTCCAGGAATACAATCATGGTGAAAGCAAAGAACAAGAAATACTGGCATGGTACTTTCTCCACTACCTTAGGGGCGTAAATAAGCGTAGAATATACTTATATATAGTTAGAATATACTTAGCGTATCAATACCAGAAAAATATATTTACCTAATTTCGATGGTTTGGCTAAATTTCCGGAAAAAGATATGATGGCATCTCGGAAACTCAGATTTATGTATTAAATGGTGATAAATCTTAAACCCATCAAAGTTTTTTAAGCAAAAGATGGTATTAACTTATTATTAACTTATATTCTCCGAAAAATACCAAGAAAAAGTCGGTTTAATCCCTCTCATTTATTATTAATTACTTTCAGTTAATTAAAAATAAATTACTAGTTAAATTCAATTTACAATAAACATAAATTGTAATTAAATGTTTAATACGTTAATTTTTACGACGTTTTGAATTATACATTTAATGTTGTAAATCGAAAATAGTATAAGTTACAACAAAAAATTAATGAAAGAATTACCTAAGGTTTTAATTAAAGTTAAAGTGGCTGCTTAAACTAAGGGACAATACGCGATAAATAATATAGGATTTATTTCGCCTTGAAACAGTCAAAACTGACTCTGAATTTAAAGTCCGACCTTCTTTGGGGTGTAATTTATTTTAGGTGAATTTTGAACACCTGCCTTAGTTCTAAGAGGGCTGGTTGTCTTCTGTTTATGGGCTTCCAACTGTCAAGGTGAATCCACGGAAATAATACAGTTAACAGATGCCCTCCGAACTTCGGTCGTCTGGGTGTCGGTTTTCAAATAAAAACAATAAAACAAAAAAATTATAACCGCGCCGTCGTCCAAACCAGCCCAGTTTATTTCAGTTATGTTTACTCGATATTTTCGAAAACGTATTTAACATGTCATATTGTAAGGTTGCTTTAACAAAATCGTTTACAAATACTCTTCAACAACCCAAACAAACATTTCTCTCAGTTTATCGTGTATGTCTCAATTTTGAAATCTATATGTTTATTATTCATGCAGATTGTTAAAAAAATGTATATTATAATCTCAAAATTGAATGAAAACTTACGTAAAATGATGTTTTTGAAGTGGACATACACTTATTCTTGAAATAAAAATTAAAAATCCGCTTTGGATGGTGAAGACGATAAACAGAACGAACTTAAAAGAAAAGACACTGGGTAAACAAAAAAATTGTAAAATAAAAGAAAACTAAACAAAACGCGGTCGGTTTATTATTTTTTTTTGAACAATAAGAAAAAATTTTTAACGTGGACTTTAAAGACGCGTACACAAAACGAATGGCGAAGCGATATAAAGCATGCCCTGTGGCGTAAAAGACTGATTCAGAATGCGTCTTGCATTCTACACACAGCGTGCTCTGCAGAGAACGGCACATGCGCACTAACAATATGAACGAACGTTTCTTTTTCGGAGTGCATCTGGAGTGTGGAGAGTGAGTGAAGTATAATATTCTTTCGAGGAGAAATGTTGAAAATTGAATTTTAAGCGATGCAAAATTAGCATAAATTACCACGACGACGATACCCATCGGCGATTTGACCCCAAAAAAATCGCCGAATTTGCATGTTAAAATGTTACAAATTGGGCTGGTTGTTTTCTTTCATTTTTTTTTTGTACAATAATATCGTTCGACAACAAACAACAACAAAAACAAATAGAGGAAACAAACCGGTTTTAAATTCTTCGTTCGATGCTGGATTTATCGTAAAACTCGTTCGGTTTTAAATTACGTTGGGAATAAATTGATAAATTGTACGGCAAATAAAGGAAAATGGCGTATAATTCGATGTTGTGTTTTGAATAGAATTCAACTAGTTCTCAACGGAATAAATGAAGTTTTAGTATGCAATTGGAATTTTCATGTACAAACGTTTTTATTTAACCAAGTATATTAATATTGTAGGCTACATTTAAAATGAATGTATTTATTAGGAATTTATATTAAATAACTTTTAAAATATTTAGTTATGAATATTTCAATATTATTGAGTCCATTATTTTGTTTATTATTATCATTAATAACATCAAATGATTTTTTCTAAAAAAACTCGATTACAATAAGCAGAAAATATTTTATTAAAATTATTTTTATTGCTTTATCTCTAGCGGAAAAAGCGTTTGGGAAGTTGAGGAGCAACGATCTCATCTGTCAAAAGAAAATCCATATTTTCGGATCATTGATTACTTGTACTCTGGAAAATGTGAAATAATTCACTTTGATCTTGATTTTTGATTTAGTTATTATTAGGTAACATCAAATACGGATTTAAAAAATTTTACACAATACCAACCCAACCCAATTGGCAGAGTCAAATTGAAGTAGAAGTTTATGCAACACCTTTCACATAACCACTACATTTCAAGTAATCAAAAAAACTGTTAAATAACCTAATAAATTTATATTCCCAGAGTCCCCAGATGTTGCATCCATATCACCTGACAAAATAGTTATAATCGGCGATTTTAGTACTCATTACTTTTTATGGGAGAGTTATAATGTCGATGAGAGGAGATTAACATTGATACATTAATGGAATTAGCTGAACCATGAAACTTGTAAACCACAAACGAAAACATAACGACAAGATTGAACCAAAATGATAACTTTAATATGATTATCACCGTGATTATTTTCAAATTGGAATTTATAGTCGCTTTTATCTTATGAGGAATTAATAGAGGAAGCGTTTAGATAAAACAAAAATAAGCAAGAAAATTAGCTATCGTGTGGTATCTAAAAGGCTAGTGCTGAACCAATTTATGTGTGTACCAAAGTGACAAAGACCTAGTTATAACCTCTTAGGTTATAGTCCCTGTCGAGGATAATATAAAACACCATCAGGCATTACGATAGAGCAATCAGAAGATGGAATTGATCTTTCGAGGTTTTAAGTAGAAACAAATATGAGAAATTGAGAAGTTTCAAACAACATTTTGAATGCAGAACATATTTCATTGTATTGGCATATGATGTGCAAGGTAATATTAGATTGACTGGCAAGCACTACATTGGAATTGGCAGGGATGAAGTTAAATGAGACTCTATTTGGGTTATTGCTGCTTTTTTGTTAATTGGATCATTACAGAAGTCTTGTTATAAGAGGAATACGGTAGCTAGAAATTTTATTAATGTGACTTCAGCAAATATCAATGTTTCTTTTGGATTTGAGACCCTCTTATCTCAATACTCATTTGCTAACCTCATGGTCATAGTTGGGAATATTTTGTTTAGATGGAACTGATAACAAGCAGTTATATAAAGTGGTAAAAAGTAACGAAAACAGAGTGGCACTAATTATCAAGATGTATGTGATTTTGTTGCAAAGAATGAATGATATGCAATGCACTGCTTGGCTTGAAACGAATTTTCCTGCCTGTATTTTGTAACAATATCATAACTTTGATTTGAATACAATTTTACTAATATCTATATAAACATGTTAAACTCATGTATAGTAGCAGTTTAAATTTCATAGATGACCGATATTTAAAATTGAACCTTCCTTTTTATTATAACATGAACTATTGTATGCAAGGAGGGTGGTGTGTGGGCCCTTTTCGATGGTAATGTTTATATTGTCGATGTCACGTTTGCATTGGCCGTGTTAAGGAGTGGCGAAGGCGACAATCGTATCTACAACGCCTGTAAGTCCAATGTTGTTAAGGATGAAAATGGCATTACCCGCTCCGATTATTAAAATGTAAATAACGCTATGCATATCTGATGGTGCGGTTATTAAATCCGTGTTGTCGATGTACCTGGATGTGTGAGTGCGCTGGCGGTCGTATTTGTAAACTCGGTTCGACCAGATTAATTATTTATAAGGAGTCGTAACGAGATGCCTTGTTTTCTCTATATAGATATAGCCAAGTACTGAACAAAGTTTAAAAGGTTCATGTGCTCCAAATTATGTGGTGTATCGGTGTGGGTTGGTTATGTTGGAAGTTAAAAAAAAGTAGAATAAAAATAAAACGTGGAGAGGATAAAAGAGAGATTGCGTTTCGCCGAAGAGTAAACTTAACTTCATTAGTGAGCGATTCCATCCCCGTCAGACGAACAAAAAACCTCGAATTACTCGCCAAGTATCCGCAGTGATATTTCTTCCCAGCGATTACGCTGTGTGTGGCTCCCGGCTAATTGTTTAATTCACCTTTAAGCTTTGGAATCCGGGGGCAAACTTCTATTGCTCGGGATTCTAAATAATGTACGTTTTCTGAATAATTCATTGTTTTCCCGTTGTCCCTTTTCACTGGACAACAGGAAAATACGGACATCTACCGAATAGCAGACGACCTCGGAATCGTGTTGTGTTTCAGCACATCGATCGCACACCGGCCATTTGAAAAATTTAAGTGGCGACGAAATAATTCAGAGACGAGTTGAAAGCGTTCGGCTCCTAGAGTCATCGATATCTAGGCGCGGACATTCACGGCAAATGCGGCGCTAGCGGAAGACCTAGAACGTCGACGACGGGGGCCACTTGCTGCCTCCAGCAAATTGAATTCTGAATAGGGAATTAAGTGGTGCACTCTGCCGGGAAAAAAACAGGGACTTGAACGGCTGCTACGAAAGAAGAGTGGATGTGTAATTGGGGAAGGAGAAGCTTCTGAAAGAAGTATAATAAATAAAGCGTATAATAAATTTGCATCTCTTTTGACGTGCCTCTAGAAAACCCATCTATCATAAAGTGCAGACGTTCTCAATAAAACACAAGGTCTCTTTTTTAAAAAACTATATTTTCTCATAAGAATTATAATTAAATAATAAGAACATTTTTAGTAAAAAAAATGTATTATATTAAAAGTAGTCCCAAACGTAACTTGATCTATCATGTGTAAAATATTTATCTGATTGCAAGAGAGGTGTTTGGAACAACAAAGTTATAATGGAAAAGTTTACATCAATTTTCGTAGAGTCGACAGTAGACAAAATTGATTGTGAGGAGGTATTTGAAAAAGATGTTTTGAATGAAAAGAGTGACGGAACTGAGATTGAATATGTGGTACTGAAGTTAATATGAGGAGTGGGTGAAGAATTGCAAGCTCAAGTATATGACTAAAAAAGTGGAGAAATATTGCGAGACTAATAGGAAAATTACCAGAGATTGCAAGGAAAGCGTGGCCTGCATAACTGAGTGAAGGGATTGTCATTGCAGACTGGAATGATGCATGCATGAAGCAGAACTGCAAGCGATTTTCTCAAACTGGGTGAATTTCAGATAGAGCGATAACTATATCATCCACAACGAGAACCGTACAGCGGGTGCTTTGATAAGAAGGACAAAGAGAACTGTGAATGTGAATGAGGGGGTTGGACGGCTTGGAAGAGCAAGGAATGAGGGAAGAAGCATAAAAGTGAGATAGATATAAAGGGATAAAAACGGTACTAAACAACCAAGTACAAAACCCTTTTACACTTGCACTGCCACTAGAACTAACATTAGATCTAGAACTAGAAACATTTGGGTTTAGCCGTACGACTGTTAAGACGGCTAAACCCGAATGATTCTAGTCCTTGGTCTAACGCTGCAAAGAAATTAAAACTAGAACTAACACTAGACATTCGGGTTTAAAAACAAAACTTTCTACTTCTATGTCTAGTGTTAGTTTTAGTTATAATTTAATAAAAATATGTAACATAGTGATATTTTATGCTAACTAGCGCTACCTACCACCTACCAGATGTCTTAAGAGAAGTACGGCTACATGGAATGTTTCTAGTTCTAAGTTTAGTGTTAATGCTAGTATTAGTCTAGTTGTATTTGTTATTCAGCGCTAGATTGTTGTATATTTTTATTGAGCTATAACGGACACTGCGTTCCCCGTATTGATCCGGAAAAACAAAAAGTGATAAATAATTTTTTATACTAAAATATTTAAAAACTTTTTTACGCATAGCTACTTGTTATTAAATTACTGATTTATTTAAGTTTGTGAAGTCCTTCACTTTGACAAGAACTACAAAAGAATACTTCACTTTTCCAAGAAAAAGAAATATTTCGTTAATTTATTGCTGAAGATAAGGATAAACTTAAAGATCCATTTAGAAGTTGAAGAAATCCAGACAAAGTGTACAATTCTAACATATTAAAGCTCCCATGCGGTTTAGCACGTAGTGAAATACTACTAGGCACCCACCGATTCAAAGACGGTCCGTATAGATGGCAGCAGATACGTTCGTGACCTCACTTAACCTTCCTCGAGCGTCTCTCAGGTCAATAAAGGCCATGCAGGCATTTTCTTAGACAACTCCGCTATCTTACTGCGATTTCTCGCTTCTAAGCAGACGGGAATTGTTGGTGTTTTTTGAA